CCGCGGAGGCCCGCGCGGCCCCCTCGATCATCGGCGCTGGGCCCCCGCCCCCGGCGCGCGGAGGGCACGCGTCACTCCTCGCTCTAGCCCAAGACGTCGGGCTCGTGCCGTGCCGACTTCGGCGTGGGCCTCTGCCACCGCAAGGATCGCTCAATCGACTACCCTGCCGTCGCTCGGACGTCCATTTCCCGTGTTTTGTTCCGGTTTCGTGCGTGTGTTTTTTCGCTGGATGGTCCAGGATGTTCCTCAAGGGCCCTCGCCGAGAAAAAAAAAAAATCACGCGTCCGAGCGATGCCAGGCTACACGCAAGAGTGACCCTGGGCAAGAGTGACCTCTGGTGCGCTGCCTTTTGCGGGCCGCGGGGGGGCCAGACACAAGCGCCCAAGACGGCACTGCCGCCTCGCGTTCGGCGATCAGGGGATCCCAGTGGGCGCACACCAGAGGTCACTCCGGCGAAAGCTCACTCTTACGTCTAATCGATTCAACCTTGAACGATCGGCCGTTTCCGAAACGTCCAAGCCGTTTCACATCGAACGAGTCTGAAAATTGAACGCCGCTGGCGGGGTCGCGGCCGGTCGACACGACACGAACCTACCGTTAAATCGGGCATGTCCTCCTACAGGCTACAGGGGGATCTTGGACGAAACGATAGAAATAGTCAAACAAGATTGCACAAATGTTCAAACATAGTTTTTTAAAAATCGTCCCCAGACTATTTTTTGGACTGTTCTTGAAGATTCCTCCTGCAGAGGGACACGTCTGATGGATCGGCGATCGGCCTCCGAGAGTGAATCCGCACCTTCCTGGGCAGGTTGGGGCTATCGGGCCCCTATCAGCGATCAAGGGCGATTGGGGGTCGATGCATTCCCCCCTATGCCTACCCCCCCATATCATTGCCCCTGATCAGGGGGCCTGGCCGGGCGATGCCCTCGGCCACCGGCGGGGAGCGGCCCCGGCCCCGCTGGGAGGAGGGAAGACGAGAGGGGGGGAGAGGAGGCACGCGAGGAGGAGGAAGGAGGAGTGAGGAGGAATGCGAGGGTGGCGAGGAGAGTGCAAGCAGGAGGAGGAGGAGGAGGAGGAGGAGGAGGGGGAGGAGGAGGGAGAGGAGGAGGAGGAGGATAGTGCAAGCAGGAGGAGGAGGAGGAGGAGGAGGAGGAGGAGGAGCAGGAGGAGGAGGAGGAGGAGCCTCACCTCGCCATCCTCCGACCGCCCCCGCCCCCGCCCCGCCCCGCCCCTGCCTCTGCCCGCTGCCAGGGCGGGCCACGGCCTCCACGCGCGCGGGCTCGGCCAGCCGTCGGCCCTGCCGGGCGCCGCGGCGTTCGCGGCGGCGCCCACCTCCCTTGGGAGTCCCGCGGCGCCCGCGGCGGCGCCCGTCTCTCTAGAATCAGGTTGGGCGTGCCCCCCCCCACAGGCTGATTCTTGGCGGAAAATCAAAAACATACTCAAAACATGCGCCCACAAACGAGCGAACGATGCTCAAACCATCCTGCCCGGATGATTTGTTTGACTACGGATTTGTGAATGTTACTCCTGTGGAGGGAAAGACCCGACTCAACTCTAGAAGAGAAGCAAAACGCCACAAACAGAAACTTTGAGCGCTCCGCGCGGATTTCCGGAACAAAAAGAACAACAGAAAAACCACAGGCATAATTTTTTGTTTGGGAGGTCCGCCCGGATCTCTTGGATCTGCGTTGGGCCCCTCCCCTGGCGCGCGGAGCGCGCCAGGGGCGGTGCCGGAGGCGCCGTTGGGGTGGCCCAGCGCGGATCCAAGAAATCCGCGCGGAGCGCCCAAAGTTTTTTTTTTTTTTTTTTTTTGTTTGCTTCTCCTTCGACCCTCGGGCGCAGCGGGCCGCCGCGCCGCCGCCGCCGCCGCGGCCGGAGCCGCGGCAGCGGCGCCGCCGCGCCCGCCGGCGCTGCCGTCGCGGACATGCCAGCGCGTGGCCCATGGCTCGAGCCCACGGCGATCCCTCCTCCCTCCCTCCTCCTCCTCCTCCTCCTCTCCTCCTCCTCCTCCTCCTCCTACCCACTCCTCCTCCGCCTCCGCCTCCTCCTCCTCCTCCTCCTCCTCTTCCTCCTCCTAAGCCTTCCCCCCAGCCAGCACCAGCTCCCTCTCCTACAGTGGATGCCAGTCCACAAGAACCCTTGCACAAGAACCTATCATGGGGAGACTCGAAGTTCTTTCGGTGGTGGACAAACCTCCATGTGGTAAACCGCCCTTCAAGGAAAATGGCCTAGGACCGAAACCGACGGACCTGCACCCGCAAAAATGACGGCCGCGACGCCATCCCGAGAACCGAAAACGGCCAATTCGCGAATCGACGTGTCAGGGTAGCAGGTCTGTCAACCTCCGACTCTTCAGAAAGATGGGGACGGCTTTCTGTCAGCACGGGGGCTTTCTCGAGCGGCGGTCCCGTGGGGAGCTTGTCACGCGGTGGGGCGGTCACTTCCCGCAGGTCACGAGGAACGCTTGGCCGGGACGTACTCCGGAAGGGGACTCGGCACGGAGGGGTGTCCTGCAGCATCGTCGATGCCTCCTGGGTTTTCTTTGGCCCCCATCGTCCACACCAGCCGCCTAGGAGCCCGCAGAAGGGAGGGCGAGGTGGAGGAGCGAGCGCGGAGGAGTAGGAGGAAGGCCGGGAGAGGGGGAGGATAGAGGAGGGACAGGCACGAAGGCACACGAGGAGGAGCGAGCGAGGAGGAGGACGTTTTTGTTGGGCTCCACGCCCGCGCTTCCTGAGCGGGGATCCCCGCACTCTCACCTGCAGCGGAGGGAATGCAGGCGAGGTCTGACCGAGTTAGGCAGAATCACTCGGTCCGTTGAAAAAAATCAGGACCAGGCAGCAACGGCGCCTCGTCCTCCTCAGCGGCTAAAGAGTCGCGGACCCTGCTCAGCACATCTCTAGGAGACGCACTGGCGGGAGGGCCAGCCCTCTCAGCCTCGGGAGAAAAAAAGGACCGAGCAGCCTCTTCTTCTGCGGCAGCAGAAGGGTCGGCGAGCACGAGGCGTCCCACTCCATCCCCCGACAAGGGAGATGGTCTGGGGCACGAGCTGCTGCGCCTAGCCAAGCCACCAGCACCAGACGACGAACTGGCACCACCAAAGCTCGGCTGGTCAAAAACATCAGGTGCTGACCGCTTCGGCACCTCGACCTCCGCAGGAGCCAGGGAACGTCGAACCCTGCTCAGCGCGTCTCTGGGAGGCGCGCTGGCCAAAGGGGCCCGCTTCCACGACTTTGGGAAACAAAAGCGCCCTAGCAGCCTCTTCGTCAGCAGCAACAAGGTCGTCCCCGAGCGCACGGCGCCCCACTCCATCCCCCGACTCGGGAGAAGGTCTGGGGCACGACTCGCTCAGGGCCGACGGAACAGAAGGCGCAGCAGCGGACGAGCTCGGAGCGTCGCCGTCAGCAAGCATGCCAGTGGCATTGAAACACGGGATGAGGTCTTCCGTGTCCACACGCACTCCAGACTTGCGCTGCATATACTGCGGATGCAGGCCTTTGCAGACGTATTCCCACCCGTACTTACCAGCACGGGAAGGCTTCAGACACTTCTGGGCTAGTCCTCTGATCTGTCCGCCGCTCGAATAACACTTACAATTCAAGCGTATAAAGAGCACCGAGCCGTCCGAGCACGGGAACGCCACGGTACGATGCCTTAGCGAATCTCGATGAGCGGCATGGACTAGGGGGTCTCTGGGGCGGGAGCCTGGAGATGGCTTCAGGACGGACCGACAGCCGCGTAAGCAATGAAACACATCTCCAGACTCCGCCCCGCGCTTGCCACGCGCGCCCGCCCCTAGGAGCACGAGGAGACGGGGGGCGAGGCTGTCTCTCCACGTCAGTCAGATCGAGGGGGGGGGGGCAGTGCACCAAAAGATTAGCAGCCAGACGGAGCGTAGCCCTAGCATGTGCAACCAATCTGTCGGCGTCCTGCAACAGGCCGTCGTCCCTAGGGTGAAGCAACACAGCCATCTTAGCGCCAACGTCGGCGTGGTGATTGCCGCGCCGACGCCAGCGCTCAGCAGGGGAAGTGTCAGGGGCATCTCTATCGAGGTGGGCCGCCACCTTCGTACAAGCAGCTACTCCAGAGGACTGACCATGGCACTGTAAGAAAGCACCAACATACATTCTCTTAGGGGACAGCTGGATCGATATGTCCCTGCAAGCAGTATTGGCCACATTGCTACAATCCGAAAAACATGGCATACAGAAGTGTGGGAGGCCATCACGTTCGACCAGGTGAAAGCACTAAACTCGGCACTCTGAAGGGGTATGGGGGTACGGGCTCCAGACGGGAGCGCGCAGCTCGGCGATGAAATCGCCAACCTTGTCTGTCATACAAACCGAGCTAACAGCGCTAGACAACTCTCGAACCGTGTGCTTCGTACAAGAACCACCCACAAACAAGTCTCCCCAGAGCCTGTTGTGAACGGGCGCCCCATCGGGGCCAAACTCACGGCGCTGGTGCCGAATCAGGGTCGGGCCATCGTCATGCTCCGTGAAGGCCCTGGGGTACGAGTCGGCGGGGTGCCGGAAGGCTCCTGAAATGAACGCATAATATTCGTCCAGGTTACCAGTGGCCTTAGCTAAAAGCGCAGCTTCGATGACCTCTGGCTCAACTGGATTCTTGCGATCCTCAGCCGCCGCCCAAAAGGAAACTCCCAGGGTCGGTGGAAGATGGTGCCTCGAGCTCCGCAATGGACACAATCTTGCTCGATCAAGTATCCCAAGGACTCAGCGCGGGCCGCCATCGTGATAGCTTCCGTGGAGAAGGCCCGAATACGGGCCTTTTGCAGAGACGTAAATTTCTTACTGCGGATGGACAAGCACTCTCTGGCCACGTCATAACAGAGACGGGACTTGATTCCCATGGCCGCCGCAGCATCCCGCTCCAGCATGCGGAGGTACCGTTCTCGGACCAGAGACCCGACCAAGGACGGGGAGAACATCCCGAGGGGGATCGGCCTCCCGAGGTCGTCGAAGAGGGTCAAAAAGTCTTCCATCCTCCAGCCGAGGCGAACGAGGGACACCCGCATGGCAGATATGGGGCCCGCGACGCTCCTCCAGCTGCAGGAGGTACGGAAAAAATCGCGTGCCAAGCACGCCTCAAGACTGGCACAGTCAGGGCCCATCTGCACGCCGATGTTTGACGGATTAATATTTCCTTGCTCCATCTGAGAATGGGTGCTGTCGCCATCCGCCACGTCGGGTCATAGTCCAGACTCGCGCTGACCGTCAAAGACCTTAGCCGACTATGCGGTCGCACGACCGAAAAAAAAAACGGCGCAGCAGGAGAAAGTCGTTGTCGCTCATGCCAGTGACCTCAGCTCCGTAAGAGGCCCAAACAAGGGGGCCCGCCGAGAAGACCTTCAAGGCGGTGTGCCTGCTCATGGCCTTCCCCTGCCGCGCCAGCCGACGCGCCGCTCTGCCTGACTTGGCGATCCTCGCCTGTATTTTGGCCGAGCGGCCCGAAGCGCGCACAGCGCGGCCAGCCGTGAAATCAACTCCGAGATTGACAGCCGTCCCAGAGCAACGGTTGCACAAATTACTCAATCTCTCGAGGACCTGGGTGCCAACCGACTTAGAACTCGCAACAATCGCAGTCTTGTCGAGGGCAAGGGGGATGCTGTCATATCCCTCAAGACAATACACTCGAATCAGCGTCGTGGCCATCGAACAGCCAGCTATCGCTCCATTCACGCAGAAGTAGGGGCCTTCCAACCAACCACCGAGGCTGAGGAATCTACCAAACCTGTGAGCGTACAAGCACACACGAGCAATGATCATCGGGAAGCGATGCTGCCTACACCTGCACTCCAAAAGGTCAAGGTTAATGTTCTCATAGAACTTGGCAAGATCAAAAACGATAGAGCAGCTGGATTCTCCCCCGGACACTCCGCTCTCGGCCGTGACCGACTGACGCCACACGACATCGGAGGCCCCCCTGAACTGGCCAGCGGCCCAATATTCTCGAGGATGGTCGAGTTCCCAGTTCAGGGCCCAGGAGCGCCTGCAGCGCCCCCAGACCCTGAACCAGGAACAAAAGACCCCGATGGGTCTGTACCCCCCCGCGGGCTTGGGGATCAACGCCAAGAGAACCACAGAGATCTGGGGGGGAAGAACGCCCGTAGTTTCGACCACGCCCAAGATACTGCAGAGACAGGCGAGGCCTTCGTCCGACAGCAAGGAGAAGTGCCTGCAATGAAAGCCGTCAACCGAAACAGCCGACGCCGTCTTATAGGAGCACGAGATGTCCCGAAGCGTCTGCACATCAATGGGAGGAAGCGGATCCAGCCTCTCAAGCGACGAGGAAGCCCCAGCACCAGAACCCCAAATGGACGAGAACCGAAACCCCTCGGACTTAAGCAGGGAGAGGGTGTCCGAAACCACACTGCCTTCAGCCGAAAGAGTGCTGCTGGCCACCCAAATGGAAGGGTCGCGCAACATCATGTGGACTCGCTTCGCTCCTGAATTGACTCCTACATTAAGCCACGCCTTCCAATCGGCCCGAGCCTTGGTGCGAGGACGAGGACGAGGAGGAGGAGGAGGAGGAGGAGGAGGAGGAGGAGGAGGAGGGAGAGGGGGAGGAGGCGGAGGCGGAGGAGGATTTGGAGGAGGAGGCGCGGGGCGAATGCCAGAGGAGGGCCAACCGAGACGGCGGCGGCTCTCTCCGCCCAGCCCACATCCGCCCGACACCTGGGACACCAGAAGATATCGGGGACGTCCAAGAGGGGGGCGGCCAAGAAGGGTGTATGTGTGTGCGTGTGCAAATCATGGCCCGAGGCATGTGGCGCCGGTCCAGGGGGGCGGCTGGGGACGTATTGAAATAAGAAGAGGCGCCATGAAATCTAGGAAGCTAGCATGGCCCCCGCCATGATATTCACCCCCACCCGTAGTCATCACCCCTGTTGACCGCCCCCGAGATACTGATGCCGCTGCTCCCCAGAACTCTCCAGGGGTGCGCTCTGAGCAGAATGTCGAGGTGAACCCAGTCCGACATTTGACGCGAGCCCCCGCTGCAGATAGCCCCCGAAAAGTGGAGTGTCAAAATGCAGGACGGGCCCGTCAAAAAGCGCAGGCAAACCCGTGACGCAAAAAAACTCGCAACGCCCAGATCTCAAGGCACGTGGTTTTTTTTTTTTCGCTCCGCCGTCGCCGTCGCCGTCGCCGTCGACATCGCCGTCGCCGTCGCCGTCGCCGTCGCAATCGCCGTCGCCGTCGCCGCCGTCGTCGTGCTGGCGCCGCCGCCGCCGCCGCCGCCGCCGCCGCCGCCGCCGCCGTCGTCGTCGTTGTCGTCGTCGTCGTCGTCGCCGTCGCCAGCGCCGCTGCCGCCGCCGCCGCCGCCGCCGCCGCCGTCGTCGTCGTCGTCGTCGTCGTCGTCGTCGTCGTCGTCATCGTCGTCGTCGTCGTCGTCGTCCTCTGGATCTCGGGGCCTTCGGGCGGGTGCTCAAGGGGGTGGGCCCAAATGGGGGGTGAAGAACAAAGCCCCGAAGGGTCCTTCAGGGCCTGATTTGGAGCCAGCTGGTGCCCACAAGAGGTCCCAAAGGGCCCCTTGCAGGGCCTTTTTCTTCACCTCCCACCTGGGTCACCCCCGGTACCCTTCGCCCCAGTAGGGGAGCCCAGGATCGAATCGACAAGTCGCATCGGCGATCGACGTGAATCGGATCGACGGAAATCGGCAGCCGAATCGGGAAACGTCGAATCGGCAGACACCGGCAGGCCAGTATGCCTCCATCGAGCAATCGGAGCCCACATCGGAATCCGAAATCGAATCGAATCGGAATCGGAAGCCATCGAATTCGAATCGAATCGAATCGAATCGGAGAAATCGAAATGAGCACCGCGGGCCCCACTGGGATGACCGTGGGGGTTTATAAGTGGATAGGGGGGTTACAAGTGGATGCTCAGGTGGGATATATCTGGCCCAACCTGGCTTACAAATGGATTACACATTCCCCGAGTGGCTTAGGGGGGTTCGAGAACGCCGCTAAGTGGGCTCCGCCCACTCAGCCCGGATCGTTAACCCCCCCTGAGCTACTTGGGGCAGATGTAGCCCACTTATGAGCCAGGGTGGACCAGACATAACCCGCCTGGGTATCCACTTGTAACCCCCCTGCCCAGAAAACCAGAGAGGGGTCACTACCGGTTCGAACCCCCCCCAGTCCATCATGAAAAGGGGGGGGGGGCGCTATACCGGTTCGAACCTCTCCCCCCCACGGTCATCCCAGCAGGCCTGTGCACCTCTTGTCCGCTCCGCTGCGCCCCTGGGTATCCACCTGGGTATCCACCTGTACCCCCCCTGGCATCCACCTGTAGCCCCCCTGCCCACCTGGGCATCCACCTGGGTATCCACCTGGGTATCCACCTGGGTATCCACCTTCTGGCCAGACATGACCCACCTGGGCATCCACCTGTAACCCCCCTGCCCACTTAGAACGCCCCACGGTCATCCCAGCAGGCCTGTGCACCTCTTGCCCGCTCCGCTGCGCCCCCCCACGCTGCCAGCGCGAGCGGCCCTCGCCCGGCGGCGCCCCGCGCACGGCCGCCCCGCTGGCCGGCGGCGGGGGCGCCGCGGCGGCCTGCGGCCCGGGCAGGCCGTCGCAGTCCTCCGTCCAGGCGTGGGCGGGGCCCGGCGCCCCAGACTTGGCGACCTTCGGTGATCCTCGGAAGGCGTGTTAGCGCCAGCGCGTGTTTCTCCACTGGTCTTAAGTCGGGCCTGTCCCTCTACAGGGGGGAGATTTTTTTTTTGTTTCGCCCAAAATCCCAATGTAGGGGGACACGCCCGACTTGACACTGGTCGGGCGCTGGCAGAAATGGGGCCTGGCTGGACCTGGTTTAGTGATGCGTACTGGGGGCGCCCCCCCCCCCGCCCCGTTCCGCTAACCCGGACACGCCGCCACCCGAAAACACGCACGAATTAGCTGCGGCAGACCTGGCTCAGTGATTCTGCTCAACTTTGGGGCTCCAGGGCTCCACCACTGACCGGGTCCCCTCACCTGGGGTCCTGGCTATACCCGAACTGAAGCCCTTCACCACGACGAAGGCGATGTGATGATCGACTGGTTGGTTTTGACGCCCGACTTGGGTACGGAAAACATGGGTACAATGCCCAACAACAAATGTTGCCCCAAACCAACAGCGGCCGCTGTTGGGCGGGCGGCCTTCTGTCTCAAATGGACACAGGCCGCGGCGGCGCGGACAGCGAATCCTGTTCAAAATGATCAGAAACTGCTGTTGGGCATTGTACCCATTCTTTCCGTACCCATCTCGTTCGTGCAGAGTTGGGTTGAACGGGGTAAACACACATTGGGCCAACACACGTCCTGAGGATCATCGAGACCCGTCGGGGGCCTCCGGCGTACAGTCGACGCGGGGGGCCCGAAAGCTCCGCGCGGACCTGCAGATTCTCGTGCTTATGCATCTGTTGTCGGAGGTGCCGCTTCTCTCGGGACCTCCCCCTGGGGGCAGCTTGCCTAGAAAATCAGAGAGAATCCAGCCGTGGCAACGAGGGCCTCCAAGGTGGCCCCCAAAGAGGTGGAAGTGGAGGCCAGTCCACAATGAACCTTCCACAAGAAGCCCAACCCCGAGACCCCAGGACGTCCATCGATTTCTGATGTGGGCACGTCGCGCTTTCCATCGAAAATTCATTGATACACGGGGCACCCTGGCGGCAAGCAGGGTGTTTCTTGGCATGGGCCTCCACTGCATGTCTTTACGTCCCCCTCCGCAGCTGGAGCTCGACACCTCCGGCGCGTGGGCGGCGCGCGCAGTGGCGCGCCCAGGCCACGCACTTGCCCGTCGTCGTCCACGTCGTCACCGCTGCGGTCGTCGTCGTCGTCGTCGTCGTCGTCGTCGTCGTCGTCGTCCACGTCGTCGTCCACGTCGTCGTCGTCGTCGTCGTCGTCGTCGTCGTCGTCGTCGTCGTCGTCGTCGTCATCGTCGTGTTTCTTGGCATGGCCCCCCCTGGTGCAGTCGTCGCGCTGCCAGCAGGAACGCCAGAGACGGAACGAAGCAGCCGCTCTGGCCACGGCGGGCCTCCTCCACGAACAGATATCCCCCCCAGCCTGGGCTCCAACCCTCGGGAACGGCCCTCAAGGCGAAGCCCTCCTCAGGCGCCGAAGTGGTCCTTGGTAAGGGCCACTTCCTTGACATCAATGATGTCAACGCCTTGATCGTGTTGAGCAAATGAAGCCGGAGAAAAGCCCCGATCCTATTTTTGTTTAGGGCTGTAGGGCTATGGGGCTATGGGGCTTTGGGGCTATAGGGCTATGGGGCTATAGGGCTATAAGGCGATAGGGCTATAGGGCTATAGAGCTGTAGGGCTATAGGGCTATAGGGCTATAAGGCTATAAGGCTATAGGGCTGTAGGGCTATAGGGCAACATGGGGTATATGGCTATTAGGGCTTTAGAGCTATAGCGCTATAAGGCTAGAGGGCTATAAGGCTATAGGGCTTTCGGCTAACGGGCACCTGGGCACCCGGGCAGCTGTGCACCCGGGCACCCGGGCACCCGGGCACGTGCCCCCTGGGCCCCGGCACACGGGCACCCCCGGGCACTGGGGCACCCGGGCTGGCCACCGAAATCGGCGGCACACCTCACCTGACCATATGAATCCGCCATAGGACCCCTGCAGAGGCAAGCTCTGATTTGGGAATCAACGCGCACTTGCTCCGCAATTCTCTGCGACCGGGGGCCCTCGCAGGCCCTGGGGAGCGATATACAGTCCAAGGCGAAACACCAGTACATGCGGGAAGTGGTCCAGGGCTCCGGGGACGCAGTCCGCATCGACAAAAATCACGACATCGTAGGTCTGTGGTGAGAGGACGCCAGTTTGCCAGCCGGGGCCGTGGGGAAAGTTAGGGGACCTCCGCAACAAGCTCTCCAGAAAACTCGGCAGTCAGAACTCGTGCCAGGAACTGCAGAAAGCGGCGGCAAGCCCGCGCCCTGGCAAACTTTCAGTCGGGCACGTCCCTCCATACAGGAGGAACAGTCAAAAACAGTCAAAAATAATCGCGGACGATTTCTCAAAGTATTTTTTGGGGCTATTTTCGAACATCTGTTTTTCATATATATATATATATATAACCATGTTAATTGTTCCTCTCAAGCCTGGTAGGGGGACAGGCCCGACCTACGGTGTCGAAAGAGCGTCGAACCAGTGTCGGACGAGTGCCTCCCGGGCGGGGCCCGACGCGCGAAGGCCCTTGAGTTGCGGCTCTGCTTGGGTGTTCGAAGCTCTTCCTGGTGACCCAGGCTCATGTAGGTAGGAACAGTTTTTTGTGTTTTTGTTTTTCTTTCCTCCCCCAGCGAACACAAGCACGCGCGAGGGCTTCTGAGAAGTCCCGCCGCCTTATGAGAAGGCCTTCTCCTTCTTACTTCCCCCCCTCGCTCGCCTCCGATGCATGCGGTGCTCCATCTCTCGAACCTCGGGGTCCGCGAACGTGCTGTCAGCAACGTCGCGGTCTGCCTGGTGGATGCGACAGCCGGTTCAAACAGTGGGCGAACTCCACAAAGCCCACCCTACCGGGCCCGGAGCTCGGGCAGGACTGCCATGGGGGGCAAGGGGCCGAGGAGGGGGGAGAGCAGGAGGGAGGCAGGAGGGAGCTGGAGCGCTCGGACCTCGGGGTCCGCGTGGAGCTGGAGGGTGAACTGGATGCGCTCAGGCAGCGCCTCCTCGTCGCGCGGCTGGGCGTACAGCCAGCGCTCCTTGAGCGGGCCGCCCAACGCCACGAGCATGCCCTCCTCCAGGGGTATGTCGACGGCGACCACCTCTCGCCGCCCGCGCCCGTGGTACCACGGGATGCCGTGGACGTCGGAAGAAGAACAACCTGCATAAACATACACCATGCGCGATAAGGATGCGCTGTAAGGATGCAAGGGCCTTGGACACCCATTTCGGATGATGAGGGTGCTCATTGCGATAAGGATGCAAGGGCCTTGCGCGACCCGTATCATAAGGATGCGCGATAAGGGTGCAAGTGCTTTGGATGCCCATGTCGAAGCTCTTCGAGCGGGGCGCGGCCAGCGAAAGTGGCCAAGGATGGACCGAGGAGGCGAGGATGTAAGTGTACACTTGGGAAAGTTGCCCATCCTTGCCATGCGGGCTGACTGTAACCAACTGCCCCTGATAACAACACCCGGGGGATAATAAAATCAGGGGTCCCAAGCAAGGGGATGGTAAACGATGTGCCCCGGCAAGTCGCGCGTGGGATGCATGGCGAGGAGCGCGGAGGTCGTCGCCGTCGTCGCCGTCGCACGAAAACGACGACTACGACGACGACGACTACGACGACGACTACGACATATCACAACGAGGCAAAGGGAAAGGAGAGAGAAGGGAAGAAGCGTAGGGGTGGGAGAGGAGAGAGGCCACAGGACAAACTCACCCCCCAAACAATTGACTCGGGATATAGCGTCTGTCGTTTGACACCTATTATGTTTGATACGGTTTCTACATCGTATCTTATGTGTAGGAGCTCATGGTGGCCAAATTCTGGAAA